CTGGATGCTGAGCTGGAGGATGAGGCAGAGCTGGACACAGCCGGCGGCGTGAATTGGCCGCTGCTCTCCGAGCCCGAGCTCTCCCGCACTGGAGACGACTTCTTCTTGGCTGGGCGGCTCTTGCTTCCGCTCCCGCTCTGCTGCTGCTGTCGGCATTTGGCCCGCCGGTTCTTGAACCAGACCTGCAGCGGGCCGGGACCGGGGAGAGTGGGTCAAGGGGGCCAGTGGAGCTTTCTGCTCCCCCGCCCCCTAGACTCCCCACCCCGCCCGGGATCTCGCAGCCCTCGGCACCCAGGCCTCTGCCCCTCCCCCTCTCGAGCCCGGCCAGACCCAGCCTCCCCCACCTTAGTTCTCCGTTCCTCCACCCTCCCCCATCCTTCTGCTCAAAGCCCCTCCTCAGCTGGCTCCGGAGTAAGGACCGGCACCTCCCCACCCCTAGCACAACTCTGCCGAGGGCGGAACGTTTGCGTCTGTCCAGCCAGAAGTTCAGCCGTCTCTAAATTGCTGCTGTTGGCTGCTTCCCCAGTGCTCCATGTATGTTTGGAGGCTCTATTTTCTCTGAGCAGAGCGTTTCATTGAATCAGCTCTCAGAGGCCCGAGATGGGCAGGGCGCGGTTGGAGTGGGAGAAGGAGCAAGGCCCCAGGCTGAAAAGAGGCAGTACTCGAATACTCTGGGGACCCGGGAGGGAAGCCTGGCTGAGATTTCGTTGCGCTTTTTTGGCTCTAGGTGAGGGACCAAATGGAATGGTCAGTCAGAAAGTTCTCACTTCTCCTGGAGGGCCCCGGCACAGGCATTGCATTCCTCGACCTTTCTCAAGCCTAAAAGAAGGCGAGACAAAAGGCCCCTGGGGAGAGTTCTGGGTTAGAATCTGAACTGCTTTTTCTGGGTTCTTTCATGTCAAAACAAAATAGCAAAATCAGCAGCAAGATTTTGCACCAAGGGTCCTCTGCCGGTACAGAGTATGATTAGACCCGCGTCACCCGTGGAGCGCACCACCAGGCTGAGGAACAGGGTCGCCAAGCACCACTCCTCCACTTCCAGGGTTCCCAGGATGCAAGGCAAGAGTGGAGAGAGAATTCAGGCCTTGGAGGGAAATCACCGAGTACTAGGGCAGCTGAAGCAGCAGACCATAGTCGGGGCAGGGGCACTTTGCCTGTGAAAGGGGGGCGGGGGGCTTCACCTGTCTTCTCGAAGTCCTAAAAAGGACTTTACTAAAGCAGAAGGGCCCCGGGGACCAAGAGCGGGATCTGGGGCTCTAAGTCACTTCCTTTAACTTGGTCTCCTTTTCCTGGCCGCGGCCTAGGCCTAGCGCTAGGGGGAGTGCGAGAGGGGCTGCCCTATTTGCAGACCCGCCTCCACACTAGACCATCTTCCCCAGACTTTCCCTCTAGCCCTGGCGTCCCTACCCTGAAGTGGAGCCCAGGGAGCACGTACCTGGACTCTGGACTCCGGCAGGTTGATCTTGAGCGCCACCTCCTCGCGCATGAAGATGTCAGGGTAGCGAGTTTTGGCGAAGAGCGCCTCGAGCACGTCCAGCTGTGAGCGTGTGAAGGTGGTGCGCTCCCGCCGCTGCTTCCTGGGGGTGGCTGCGGAGACACGTGGGGGGGGGTGGAAAATGGGGGGGCGCCTCGGGTGAGCAGTGGCCAAGCAGACCAGCGCCAGAGGACTCGGACAGGCCCCTGACAGGCCCAGGGAAGGGCCGTTGCAAGAGAAAACCGGGCTCCAAGCGAAAGAAACTGCCCTCGGGCAGAGTCTGAAAGGTCACAAGCGGGAGAAAGGGCACCTGGGTGACTTAAGGTCTAGTGTCCCAGGACTCCTGGGCTGCCCCTCCCTGCCTCTCAGGTTAAAAAACAAAGAGAGAGAGAGAACGATCTCTTATAATATCTTTTTACACCCGTCCCACACATGCTCACTCTGCTAGGGGGGATGAGTTAAAAAGGGGGTGCACAAAAACGCTTTCTGAGGGAATGAGAGGGGATAAAGGAGAAGGAACTACAAAAGAAACCCAGGGGTCAGCTAAAGTCCTCTACTACATGCAAAGGTTGGTGCAGGTCACAGGTCCAGGGGACAATTTAGGGAAGAACCCCCCCCCCCTTCTTCAATCCAGCCCACCACTTCACATAAGGGAAGTTTGGCTGTTTATGTCAGGGCCTACCAAGTGTCCAGAGTCCTCATCCGATGTTGGGAGTTAAAGAACAGATTCAGAAAAAAACAACAGCCACCAGAGAAAACGAATCTGTGGGTAAACTGTGCTCCCCACGGACGGTGGGACCACGACTGGATACAGGTTGTCGGCAGGGCCGGCCTGGAAAATGCACTTTGCATGTTTTCAAAGCCCTAGCCACCTCACCGCCCTGCGACTCTGCCCCAGGCGCCTGCTGCCTGGGCCTGCTTGGTGACAAAGCCTGTGCTCAAATCCGGAGATCCGGAAGGCCAGGGGTCCCCAACATTTTCGAGGGGGTAGAAAGGGTGGTGCTCACCAGGATAGCCCACAGAGGGATGCAGGAGGTCCATGGCCGGCCCAGCCAGGCCCAGCCCATTCATGCCATATGGGGGTTGTTTGAGGTAAGACATCATGCTAACAGCTGGGTGGAGGCGCCCCGATGGATCCAGGGGGCCTGGGGCCTGGAGCGGTGCAGGGCTCCCGCCGCACAGTCCTTCAAGCTCTCCTGTGTCTGCGGGCCTGGCCTACGAAGACATGCGACACACAGAAACAGTCACTGGAGCCACCTCGGCCTCCAGGTCTTATCCGAGGTGAGGAGCTCTGGGAAGGAGGGCAGGCTATGTGACTGCGCAGGGCGGTCACCTCGATTCCACAAAGCCCAAGCCCAGAGAACACAGCTTCCCTGAAAGTAAACTTTTCTGGATCGCCAGTGCCTCATCGAGCTTGGAATGACCCAACGACATTCGACATTCGTTGGGGATTGGTAGGAGAGAAGGGAGGTTAAAAGCCGGGCCAGGCTGGGGAGGTCACAGCCTGAATCGCAGTGTTAGAGATCCCAAGTCTAGACAAAATGTTTAGTCTGGCAGAGGCCGGCTTCAAGTTGCAAATCAAATGTTCACCTGGCACCTGGACTGCAGGCCGCCCAGAGCACGAGAGGTTGTTTCGTTTCGTTTCGAATATTTTTAAAGTGGGGCAGAAAGATAGACTACAGAAGGGGCAGGGTGAGGCAAGGTGGAGGGCTAACTGTGCCTCGGCGTCTCTGGGACGCACTGCCCACTTCGGAGACTTGGCTTCTTCAGAGGTCTCCATCGAAGCGCCCCAGTCTGAGAGCCCGCCAGCACCGTTCCAGCTGACCTCTGCGTGCAGTCACAGAGAGATCGCTCCCCACAGAATCCCACCACACCTCAACCGCAGTTACCCGCCAAGGCCGAGCAGAGCCGGCCCAAAGACGCAGAAGGGGGCCCTGTAGAGGTGGCGGTTCCAAAACTCCGCCCGAGGTCAGGGGCGCCTCAGCCGCCGCCACCGGCCCTTCTTCGCCGGCGCTGGCCGGGCCTTCTTTCTGCAGAGTCTGGGGCTGTAGACAGCGGGGTCCCCGCGGGGCGTGAAGGGTCTCCCGGATTTGGGAAGCCCGAGTGCGGCAAGTGGCGTGCTCCCTCGCCATCCCACCGGTGAACTCGCGGCCCCGGGCCAGGGGCAGACTAGGGAACTAGGCCTCAGCCGCCGAGCCACGCAGACCTGAGCTGAAAGTCGAGGCCTCGCCCGCGCTGCTACCCCGACCTCGAGGCGCTACTCTTAGGGAATAGGAAGTGGCGCGGGGTACTGGGGTCCTCAAGGGCCTGTCGCTAAGCTCCGCTTCGCGGGAACGCTAAGACAGGCCAGAGACTCGGGCTAGGGATTCCGGGCGAGAAGTTAAGCTCAAGGCGCTCCCGCCCCGCCCCTCCCTCTGCCCCTCCTCGGGCTCCGGTCCTCTGGGACCCTCGGCCGGGGCTGGGGGAGCCCAGTTTGCAGGGAAGGGGACCAGAAAGGAAACAGCCAGGGCTCTTGCTCCGAAAGACAACGGGACTCAAGGCGCGGTAGTTCTGCTAGTCTGAGGCTTGAGTTTGCAAAGACTTTCCCCAAACTTAGCACTTCTGCCCGGTTACTTCGGAGGAGGCGGGGGAGGGGCGCCCGGCCGCGGCCGCGCTCTGGGGTCCTCCGCTCATCCAGAGGGGAGCCAGGCCGCTCCCCCAGCCCCGCCCACCTGCCAGGGATCCGGGAAGCCAGGGTCGGTTTGAGGAGGGGGAGGCAAGAGTAAATGACGCGCTCCCAGAGTCGCGGGCGGCCCCGCGTCTTTCTTCTTACCTGCCCTCAGCTGCCAGGGCCGCTCACCATCTACCACAGAGACCCGCCCGGCAGCCAACCTGCAAAACAGAGCGGCGCAGCAATTACCCAGCCGACTGGTCTAGGACCCCCGGGTTTCCTTTTCCCCCCAACTTCCTTCCTCCCGTCTCTTTTTCTAGTGGCTTTGTGCGTGTCTCACCAGGTCTCACTTTATTGCACAGACACTTTGTTTGCACAGCCCACACGCTCCCAGGACATCGCCTCGCTCGGGACTACGCCGAGGGGCCGCAAGGGGGGGATGCGAGGGGCAGAGTTGGGAGGTGGCTCTCCGTTGCCGATGCACTCCCGGTACAACGTGGAGGCGGCAGGGACGGGGGAAGTCCTGCACAGTCACTTTGCAAACTAAATAAATCAAGCGATTTACCTTGTCGGAGTGGCTTGTCTTGCTCGGTTGTTTAGGTGATTGGAAATGTAGCCTGATGAAGATTGATCACCTTTCTACTGCCCTCCCCGGGTATGTGAACGCGAGTCGAGTGCATAACGGGGCTAGCCCGCCAATCCGGGGCCCCGCGTAACTCCCGGGCTCTGCCGGCAGACGCCGCACAGAGCAAGGCGAGGCAGAGGAGCGGAGCGCCAGAGTCCCGATTGCGGAGGGGGCCGCGGATCCCGAAGCCTTCCCGGGGGCCCCCGCCCTCCTCTCGCCCTCTCAGCCCTCGCGAGGGAGTGGCAGAGAGCAGGCGAAGTGCTGGAGAACCGGTTCCTTCGCTCCCCCGCGCGCCACCCGGCTTGGCAGTCGGGGTGTGGGCGCAAGGACTCGGCGGCGTGCTGGAGGAGCGCGGGCCCCCGGCCCCTCTCTTGGCGCCACGGGCCCCAGCGTCTCCTTCCTCTGCGCCGCCACCTGCAGACGGACGACGCGGTGCCGGCGCAGGCTACTTTGCAGAGCGCGGGAGCAGCTCCCGGCGCGCAGATCCTTCCTCGGCGCCTCCGGACTCCCGCGCCCGGGAAGAGCACAGGCAGGGGAGGCGCCGCCGCTTACCTGCTCCTCCGCGTCTCTTGGGGTTCCTAATCCCCACCAAGGGTGTTTGCAAGTCTCAAAACGATTCTTCTGAAACGTTGGAACCCAGCGTCCCCTTCCCCATACCCGTACACCCGACTTCTCAATCGAAAGGGTTTGAGAGGAAACTTTTTTTTTGTTTTTGCACTGTCACTTTTTCCCGGTCTCCACGTACCAGAGACTGTTTGGGGGAAATTTGGCCACAGACCCCCGGTCTCAGCATATCCCTCAAGCAGCAGAGGGATCCTCCTCGAGGCGATTTCCCCAGATTGCCCGTACTGGCGGATCCCGTTTCCCAGCCGAGCAAACTTCCGAAAGAAGTCTACTTGGGTGGACTTTTCAAAGCGCGAAAGAAGTGTTTTTGCCCAACACTGAGCAAAGCAATTCTGTTTAAAACAAACTTCCTGAATATTGGACACTTTACTGCCTTTCGAGGAATTCTTATCCCTTTTCCCTAATCTCCCCGCCCCCTGCCCCAACCGACTGAGTGAAAAGTTTGAACCGGAATAAGTGTGAGGGCGAGTCAAGGAGCCGCCGGGCGCATCGCGGTGGGGAGCACCAGAGCTGCCCGGGCCGCGGGGTCGGGCGCCGAGAGCGGACCGGGCGCTGGGCGAGGATGGGAGAGGGAAGGGGGAGCCCGCTGAGTGAAAAGGGGCCGCGGCAGCCGCTCATCAAAGTGCCTCCCCTCCCCCAAGCGACACTTTCCTTTGGAGTCCGTATAAAATACGGTAACAGAATATGATGGAGGGCACACTGTTTCCTTAACTGCTTCTCAAAGGACCCGGAGATCTTCTTTGGACCTTTAATAAGGCTTTGGTCGGCTCTTTTGTTGATCTCTCAAAATCAACTCCTTCTAATTGAAGTTGGAGCTGAAAGCGAGCTAATGTTCAAAGAAAGTGGCCGCCAGACCAACGAAATTACATTTTTTTTTTTTTTTGGTGGTGGCGGGGGGACGATGAGGGAACATCTAATCAAAGAGGCAGAGAAGGAGGGGTGGGAGTCGGGGAGTACGGAGGAAAAAAGAAGGTTTTACAAGATCCTTCTCTGGTTCACAAAAGTCAGCGACACGGGCGCTTCTCTACAGAACAAAGACACCGCGGCCCATTCACAAAAGACAGAGAAAGAGAGCAGAATAAAAGAACGAGAGAGAAGGGAAGAAATGAGAGAGGGAGCCAGGGAGAGCAAGCTGCTTTAAGAGGAAAAGAAACCGCGCAGGGCGCAGGGCTGGCTGAGGCGGGGACACACCTTAGGCGCGCACAGGCCCCCGCCGGGAGTGGCCGGGAGGCCTGGCTCAGCGGTCAGCGCCCGCGGCTCGGAGCCTCTAAGGTGTGCAGAGCAGTGTAAAGACAGAAACGAAATAGCCCCCGGCCCCTTGTTGCGCGGGAAGGAGCGGGCTGGAGTGCGTTAGTTTGCTGGGGCTGAACTATGCCGACGTCCTAGGGTGCGCGTTGGAGGCGTCTGGGGCTGTAGCCCCGCGCGGTCAGAGTCCCGGCCTGCGCGCCGTTCCTGGGCTGGCCTTCCGGTACCAGGTCGCTTGCGGGCGCCCCAGCCCGAAATCTCTCGCACTCCTGCCTCCTCCAGGCCCAGTTTCGCTTGCAGCCGCAGCACCCGACCTGGGTCGGAGGCGGCGAAGTGGGGCGGCCGGGCGCGCTGGAATGTGCCCGCGCGGTCCCCAGGGCCCGCAGCACGGGAGTCCGGCGCTCTCGGTTCCAGATGCTGCCACCAGGCTCGGGGAAGTCGGGAGGTATCAAGTAGCATGGATTTTTTTTTTTTTTGGTAATGAGAGTATTTATCTAATCCCAAATTGCAGGCGAATTTTCTTAATGCTGTGTTTTTTTTTTTTTTTTTTTTTTTTGGTAATGAGAGTATTTATCTAATCCCAAATTGCAGGCGAATTTTCTTAATGCTCAGCCCATAAAATCCCGGGATTAAGAGAAGAAAAAGAGAGAGAGGAGAGGGGAGAGGGAGGAGAGTCGAGAGCGAGAGGGACCGAGATGAAAGTTTCTTGAAAGCGGCACAGAGGATGAGGCGGCTGTCGCTAGGCAAATGTCCAGGTGGGCGACGCCGGGCCAGAAGCCACGACCGTTCCTGCAACCACCGCAGCGCGGGGAGGGGAAGCCGCCCTGCTCAAGGTCCCTGGGCCGGGAAGGGAATGAGGGAGCTGAGCCCCAAGACCCGGATCCACCATCCAGGTGACCTCGAGACCCGGCCAGGCTCTGGAGGACACTGGAACAGAGGGAAGGGTTTGGCTGCGGGGCCGAAGACTCCTGGCCAGGGGCGGAAGTTCTGTGCGGGGCCGCCGACCGTGCCCCAGCAGCTCGCCGCCAACGCTAAGGCGCGCCGCGATTCCCCGACCCAAAGTCTTTTCCAGCAGAGCGAGCTTTCGGGTTCGCGATCCCTCGGCGTGCGGGGTTCGCGCCTGCTCTCGGGAGCGGGCCCCTGG